AAATCCGTGCTCATCGCTCGACATTTCGCATGCATGTTTGATGCACACCGCGTGGGTTTCATGTGGCCGTCTGACTGCTGCGGGTAAGGTTGCGAGTGGCGATGTGCAAGTAAGCGAGGTAGGTAACTATGCCGCCCCAAGAACTATTCGTGAGAGTTCATGCTTGTTCAAGTACCGACTCATATGAGTAGAGTGCACGATACGTCGACCGGTTCGGTTTAAAGTCATTTGACCCGAAAACGCCGTTGCATGAGAAAGGGTTTTGTCCAGTTATGCAAAAAATCAGTTGAATAAATACGTTTGAAATCTCCATGACCTTAGAACTATGAAAATACAATTCACGACCTGAGAGCCAAACCAGACATTTAAAATAAAGAGGAAGAGAACAACAAGCTGTTTTGCATTATTTACTTTTGGAGGATGTTTTCCGTTATCAACTTATTCTACTTCGTTGAAAGTAAGCCACAGAACTGAGCTTCACTTTCAATGCACATTGGGGAGGGGTTGCATTTTTAACTACAAACCAGCTATGTGATGCATCGCGTGAGGCTGATACCAAGGCAACCATCTCTGTATGCAACAGAATAAATTAGTAAAATCACTGACACCTGCAATGTAACACGGAAACCAATTACGGTCCGGCAACCGAATCTACAAGGTATTTTTTTCGTTTTCTGATTAATATAGCTGAACAAAAGTACTTCATTTCTGTTTCATTTTCACCTCACTAATGCAAGTCGTAATTCACATTCATTTTGAGCCATGGATACCAACCAGCACAATCAATAGGGCGACATTTGAATAGCGAGCACGACAGATGCGGGTGCCAGTCTCTGTGGTCGCTGACACAACCTAGTCACCCCGGATGACCCTAGAGTATCCGCCAAAAGTTATATCAACCAGGACCACAATCTGCTGATGTGATCAAATCGAAAACTATCATTGAGTAGGTGTAATCAGGACGGCGTAGAAATTTACCGCCGATGTGATGCTGTTCCAAAACGCATGTAAGAAACAGCAAACTTATCGCGTAATTTCATCCAGTTGTACGTGTGATGCCGCACAGCTACATATTTCCTGGATGACGCAATTAAGTAGACGGTTATTTCGACAAGGTATCAGTTGGATGAGAACTGGAGTAAAAGTAATTACAATTCAACAAACCGTATAAAGATAAAACATTACCAAATGTTGTGAATCCTATCTCCCAGACCAATGATTAACTAACCACTCATTAACTAACTACTACAGACTAAGAACAACCACACTATTCACTGAGCTGCCAACATAGAATTTCCCGCATGATATCAATCATTCGTTACCGTTATTGTTTCTGCCCAGTTTAGGCCGCCATGAATACGATAGATACAAGAATGGAACGAAAAAGTGCTGTGAATATGTTTCATCCACATTGCACGTCCAAACATTGTAAAAACGAATACCCCTCTCCCCCAATCCAGCTACTGTTCACCGGCTTATACCGCAGTTTGGTAAAGGGAAGTTTTCTACTAAACAACGATCAAGTTTATATTTAAACTTGTGGAGTGCATGCTTTTGAAGATGCAATTCGAGTGGTTCATTGCGACTAGCTGGTGCAGAGATTCGGTTCTTGAGGTCACATTTCCGATTGCTACTTTTTCATTTTTCGTAGCATGAGACTGACTCACGGTCAAATGAGGCTGGTAACCTGATATGTTGCTCAGAATATTTAGCCATCCATTCTCCCGGTGAGTTGGAGTTCTTTGTACAGCCCACATGTGTAAACAAATCTCACATGACAATCAAATTGATTCCAAAACACGTACAGTCGTATTTCCGTCGAATACATGAATAAGATAAAGCAAATGGAATGTATTTTACGTTCATCTCGAACCTAAATAGTGAAAACTACCAAATCAACTGCTTCAGTGCAAATTACGTAGGACAGTCACGAAAAGGTTGCTTGTTTTTTCATGGTCATAAATACGTTACAGTAAGTAGAATCTCTTAACTTCTAGATGACCTTCTCTTACTTCGGGTTAAGTAGACTTCGTAGAGGAGCGATGAACAATCTGAAAACCATGGTACAAACAATCATCTCCAGTGCCATTCGGATTTTCCTCTAACCAATGCATAGTCAAAAACCAGATGCAGAAAAGCATATTAATCCTGATGCCTTTATCTGGTGGTAAGCCAGATGTGCCCAGACTACTATGTCGAGAGTTCGCTTGCCAAGTGAAAACATTGTTGCTTACTGACCTCAACCACTTTATCAGTGCCGTATTGGTTTAACACCTAAATCCCAATCATCTTATCTACAATTTGGTCGCCTTACGACTTTGATGGTCGTAGGCTTTGTGGAGTCTAACAGCTCTGTTTGAATGAAACCGGTATGCCGATCGAAGTAGAAATTTGCTGAACTCGAGGATTTCCACCCGAAATCATTGGAAGCGAAATCCCCAAGCCATTTAATATTAATCGTACTTGAACCAGAATGTATATATTATTCTCTGGTTTTATTCTGATGTAAACAAGATTCTATTGTGAATGTTATACTGTTAATAGCACAGCGATGTCGGTAGCGAACTGCATTCGCCGACGTTTCGGTTACCGTGGGTAACCTCTCTCAAGACAGACTTTACAATCAAATGCATCTGATTATAAAACCTGGCTTGAGAACGGTTACCCACGGTAACCGAAACATTGGCAAATATAGTTCTCAATCGACATCGCTGTGTTATTATTTTATTATTATTATTATTATTAACATTATAACATTCACAATAAAACAACACATGGCCAATCGATTTTTCGATAAACTTCTAACGTCCTTTGATCCTGACGCAGTAAATTAGATTCTCTTCATTAAAAATTTCTCAGAAAATCAGGCTTTTTATGCATCATCTACTTTTCTTCTTCATGATAAAATAACCAACCCCGGTGAAACTGGTATGCAAGTGTTGTTGGGCTCTGAAATTTGAGGTTAGTTTGGTAAAATATGACATATGTATTCATCAATGCTAGAAATCCAATTCGGTGCAGGAAAAATGGTGTGTCAATATGTACGTCGGTTGCCTCGATATCATCAGCATCGTCCATGTTGTATGGTAAAGCGTAGCAACGCGGACTTCGCTGATCATTCCCAGTCACATCCTGACAGTGAATACACTACGTTTCAAGCATTCTGGAATGATAAGAATCGATAACATGAGCGCCGCTGCTGTCGGTTCGCTGCTATATCCTTCAGTAGCTCCGACCAACAACTTACAAACCATTTTTGACCCAAATTTGAAAATTGAGAGACATCTACTCAACGTAATCTTTATGTCCAGTTCCTCAAAGCCTTCCTTTCCCATCACTTTTTCCTCTATCTCATCTTGATCATAATGCAACCAACTGCAAATACTGCGTGATGCAATAGATGACTACTAGAATTGCTTTATTTCTATCGTTCAACATTGAGGTCTACATCTTTCAATCAGCAGTGATGATAAAATTAGCAGAAAATAACTCTCAGTTACATCATGTCTCACAGCAGGATCGCTAACCACATAACTCCATCATACCTCAGTCAAACTTCGTAAATCGCAATGGTCAAAGTGCTCCAATAGAAGAATGTCTTCCACGCACAAACTCCGAATCTCACAGCAATGGAATCAAATTGATACCACAGTTGACGTGGTAAATACGGCCTTTGTATTTCAAGCAAACGTTAAATTAATGCCAAACGTTTTTCAGTCCTAGAGATGCCGCTCGACCCTTGAAAATGTGCGCTGTTACTTCCTTTGCTACGCTACGAAACCACCTACTTAGTTTGAAGAATTAATCTGTCACAGATAATTCTCAAATATTCAGTTAAAAATTAGGGGTGTATGGTACCCAAACTCGAAGCCCCACTCTGTAAATTATATGTCTAATTGAATAGCAGAATGCTTTATCCCGTCGGACGTACTTGTGACGTCTTCCATGTTATACTTAATTAGCTAGTCCGTGCGATGCAATGTTATATGATTGATGACCCCTTGATTAGTCAAAATAAACCTCGGTAATCCAAATTCGACAAAATCACTCACTTTGTATGTAACCAGAAATGCACCAAAGACGGATCACGATAGACAAGCCCCCAAGGATAGCAAAGGTTGTGCACGTTTCCGCCGGTGTAGTTAGTTGGTTCATTTTGCAGAAAACTAATTGTTGTGGTGTGGCCGCTTCTGGGTTCGGTCTAGTCACATTTGCATGGATATTATGAATGTTCAGTGCGAAGCAAACGAGACATGTGATCGCGTCCAGAACAAACATCACACTCGTACAGAATCGACGCGATCCAAGAGCCCACCATTTGAATGGCTGTTCGATCACAAACAGGAGCAAGGTGAACAGACTGAGACAAAATAGACCCAGCTGAGTGGACAGTAATGTGGTTCGTGTATTTCCAGGCTGTGTGGTAGACAAAAGAAGACAAGAATTTAAGGGCTGTGCGTGTGCATAATTTCATTTACACAAAGTACCATTTGAAAGAATGAAATATAAAAAGAGACATTTGGGCAGAAGTGATAAGTACAGTCAAAAGTAACTGGATTCAAGATTCTAAAGCCTGTCCATACTACTACTACTCTTGACATAATTAGTAGCGATGGTTTGTAATATCAGTAGGTAAATTGTACATATTACCACATATATATGAACTTAGCACTCTAAGCTTAATACACGGGATCACTTTCTCAGTGAGCACTATTTTGTGAACGATTTGGCACTAGCAGTAAAGACCACTGACAAATGATTTCGAATACCGACACATTCCAGAGCAAGGCAAAGTGACAAACTTAACTAACTACCGGGTCAGCAAGCTACCACACATGCACATAGTCTGGAACGTTTGTTAAAATATCGATTGGTTCCTTCTCAGTCTCGATTACTCCATTAGCATTTGTCGAGTTTGTTCGAGATTATGACCTGGAAATCTGTAAACTGCAAATGTGCAATAGCTGTACCGATGAACTGTTGATGATCAAAAGTAAATAAACAACAATTTACGTGGTAGGCCCTTAAAAACGCCAACGTTGAGTATGTACCTCGAGATTCACTTCTTCTGCGCTGTAGACTAATGCACAAAGACTCACTTAAGATGTGAAAGCGAGTGATCACAAGCCAGCAAGTAAGTAGTTCACAAAAAAGATAAACCAATATCTCCGAACTTTGAAGCTTATCTTCATCTTTCGAGTGTCGCAAAATAGTAACGATCAAAATCATGCTGTTGCAAGTACAAACCCTACAGTTGCCACCCAACATTTCGCATTTCTGATACAATTGTTTTTAATTAAATTAAGTCCTACCGACTTTTCCAGATTCTTACAATGCTGAAATTAGATAGGAAATTGGCATAGGCTTTGACCTCGTCTGCGAACGACCAGAGACTAGTGTGTCAAAAGTAGTTTAACTCTGTTCAAACTATGGCAAACCTCTACTTATAACGGTATAGTTCCACAAACGCCAAACAGGTCGAAACTGTTGTCCAAAATCCCTAGCTTCTTATTACACATTTCTTTTGTCCGGATTACGTTGAAAATTATCGCGAAATCGAATTAGGTATTCCACTTCTCATTCCAACGCTAATGGTTTATTGACTGCAAGCTCAAACAACATTCGGTAGAGCAATCGAACCACAAATGTTATCCCACAGTGTTCCACAACGCTTTGAGGAGATTCCGCACACTCCATTTTATTCAGCAACAATGTTTAACTTTTTACACTTTGCCTTCCTAACAATTATAAGACGTTCTAAATCAATGTTTTTACTGAGAACCATCTACATACTCGATTTTCCTAACCAGGACGTTACAATTCTGATCATGCTTCCGTTTAGCTAAAATGGGTATTTGCTGTTCACCTTACCACATCATCAATCTAGCTGTGAACCAGAAACAAAAATATCTGGGGCTGTGAAAGCGTGTCAACTTACAGGGAACCTCAAGGATTCCGTCTCCAGTATCAATCTGATGATCACCAACACTGCCTCCACACCGGTCAAACCCATCACTGAGCGATAGTATTTTCGCATGTGAAACACATGTTTTAGACGTTTACGAGCCTGTGTACATCGTCCGGGCTTTCGAGCTCGAATACTGGCCTGTCGTGCAGTTACACCGGCCTCTGCGTCGTCTCCCATGAGCATGCCAGACTTCGAACGGCCATCCGGCCCCATAGAATGACGATCCAAATAGCGTGACATTAGGATGGTCGCATATCATCAAAGTTGAACCTGAAGATCAAAGAAATGGGAAATTCACATGATGGTACTCCATGCACACTCCCAGAGCGAATGGGCTTTCATGGTTGGTGTTTGCTCACTCTTGAGCATAAATTTTTAATTTATTCTTTGTGTTTAGTCTTACACCCGAAGACCTTCTCGTGTGGGATCAA